TAGGAAAAAGCACAATCCTTTACAGATTGTTATGGTTGAACTGCACTTTGAAATTTGGATCATGGAGAAAGTGAATCTATTTTTTGCATATCCCCAGCAAGACTGTCAGGAGAACTGTCTTCAGGTCTTAGAATCCCAGATGGATAAAGGTGGTCTGTAGTCTTAGCTGATGCTGCCACTGGGGGCCCAGGAGTCATTATGAGCTAGGCAGAGCTCCAAAACAAGATCTACTTTACTGGAAAGCTAAACTACGCCACCCACTCAAAACTTCTACCTAATGCTTGAAATTTCCATCTCTTTCACACCTGTGTTCTGTCAGCTTCTGCTATTGGATGTACTGAGAAAAAGTGAACGACAGCTTCTAGATAAACTGTAAGTAAATACAATCAGACAAACGTCCTATGTGAGTGGAGTGCTGGAGAGGTTGTGAACGTTTTGTTTTGTAAAGCCTTCGGTGTGATTTGAGAATCAACAGCAGAGAGGAGGGAGAAGGAAGGAAGGAGGGGCCAGGCTTTATATGTGAGGAGCCTGGGGTCTAGGGAGCTTTAGGAGTTACTTGTCATCCCAATTAAAGTAGTAGAGGCAGAATTTACATTTTCACCATCTTTCTTGTGCCCCATCCTGGTTCCCCACAGGAAAGGGACAAAGAGAGAGAAGAAGGAAATGAGAAGAGAGGAAAGCTGAGAGGCAGTAGTAGCACAGAGACGTAGAGGAGGTAAGAGAGAAAGGAGACCCCAGGAGAGGGAAAAGGAGAGGGAGAGAAGCCCAGACAAGAAAAAATAATATTGAAGGAGAAGGCAGTTGGAGGACTGCCTCCCTCACTTCAGACTTACTATAAGCTGCAATAATCAAGACAGAGAAATACTGGTGAAAGAACAGACCAACAGATTAGTGGAATGGAGAGCCCACAAACAGACCTACATAAATATAATCAACTGATCTTGGACAAAGATCTTGGAAATGACAATACAATGAAGAAAAGACAGTCTTTTCAACAAATGGTGCTGGAACAACTGGACATCCACATGCAAAAACATGAGTCTAGACACAGACCTTGCACCCTGCATAAAAATTAACTGAAAATGGACCACAAACCTAAATTAAAATGCAAAGCAATAAAACTACAAGATAACACAACAGAAAATGCAGATAACCTTGGATTTGGCGATGCCTTTTTAGATGCAATGCCAAAGGCAATATCCATGAAAGTAAGAATTGGTAAGGTGGACTTTATTATAACAAAAATTTCTGCTCTGCAAAAGACACTGTCAAGAGAATTAAAAGACCAGCCACAGACTTGGAGAAAATATTTGCAAAAGACATATCTGATAGAAGATTGTTATCCAAAATATACAAAGAACTCTTAAAACTCAACAATAAGCAAATCATCAGATTAAAAATGGAGGGTGCCTGGGTGGCTCAGGCAGTTAAGCATCTGACTTCAGCTCTGGTCACGATCTCATGGTTCATGGGTTCAGCCTCACATCGGGCTCTGTGCTAACAGCTCAGAGCCTGGAGCCTGCTTCAGATTCTGTTTCTCCCTCTCTCTCTGCCCCTCCCCCCCTCAAAAAGATGAATAAACATTAAAAAATTAAAAAAAAAAAAAGGGCCAAACAACAGGTACATGAAAAGATGCTCGGCATCACTACTCATCAGGGAAATGCAAATCAAAAGCATTCTGAGATATCACCACACATCTGTTAGAGTGGCAACTACCAAAAAGACAAGTGATAACAAGTGTTGGAGAGGATGTGGAGAAAAGGGAACCTTAGTGCACTGTTGGTGGGAATACAATTTGGTACAGCCACTACGGAAAACAATATGAACAGTGTGGAAAGCTCCTCAAAAAGTTAAGCAGAGAGATACCTGTGATCCGGTAATCCCGCTTCTGGGTTTATATCTGAAGGAAACAAAATCGCTATCTTGAAAAGATACCTGCACCCTCATTATTTACAGCATTGCAAATATTACTTATTGCAGCATCATTTACAATGTCCGAGACATGGAAACCTAGTTCTGTTGACAGACGAATGAATAAAGAAAATGTGGTGTATGGTGTGACATATATATCATCTAAATGTATTAGAATATTATTCATCCATAAAAAGGAAGGAAATCCTGCTATTGGCAACAACACGGTTGGGTCTTGAGGACCCTATGCTAAGTGATGGAAGCTAGACTAACACTCTAGAATATGACTTATATGTGGTATCTATTTTTAAAAAAGCCAAACTCATAGAAACACAGAGTGGAATGATGGTTGCCAGGAGCTGGGGGTGGGGGAAACGAGGAGATGCTGTTCAGAGGGTACAAAGTTATAGGATGAATAAATTCTAGGCATCTAATATTCAGCATGGTGATTACAGTTAACGATACTGTATCATGTACTGGATAGTTGCTAAGACCGTAAATCTTAAATGCTCTCACCACACACATGCACAAAATTATAACTATGTGAGATGGTGGATGTGTTAACTAACCTTACCGTAGTCATCATTTTGCAGTACATACATGTATCAAATCATCACCCTGTGTACCTTCAACTTAAATATGTCAATGATATCTCAAAAAAGCTGCAAAATAAATAAGATAGGATAAAGAAAAAAGTGGGTCAAAGACTTAGCAGACACTTCATTAAAGAAGACACACAGTGGCAAATAAGTATATGAAAAGATGCTCCACAACCGTAGGTCATTAGGGGATTGCAAATTACGACAACCACAACACACCCACCAGAATGGCTAAAATTCACAACACTGACAACGCCTGAATACTGACAAGGATGTGGGGCAAGAGGAACTCCAGGAACTGTCATTCGTTGCCAGTGGGAATGCAAAATGGTACGACCAGTTGGGAAGTCTGGTGGCTTCTTATAAAACTCAACATTCCTTTACCATAAGATCCAGTAATCACACTCTTTTGTATGGACCTATCATAGGAGTTGAGTAAAAAGATCAGGGGTTATGGAGGAGGGAGGGAGATAAATGGGTGGAGCACGGGTTTTTTTAGGGAAGTGACACTTCTCTACATGATGCTATAATGGTGGATATATGCCATCATAGATTTGTCCAAACTCATAAAATGCTCAATACCAAGAACGAACCCTAAGATAAACTATGGACTTTGGGTGATAGTGATGTGTCAATGGAGGGTAATGAATTGTAAAAATGTCCCACTTTGCTAGGGGATATTGATAATGGGGGGAGGCTCTGCATGTGCTGGGGCTGGGAGTGAATGGGAAATCTGCACCTTCTTTCCAATTTTGTTGTGAACTTAAGACTGCTTCAAAAATAAATTCTCTTACAGAAAAATTTTTTAAATAAAAATAAACTGAGCAAGGAAAAAAAAAAGTTGGTAAAAGACCTTCACTGCTGATCTTGGAAGTTCACTTAAGTCCGCTTTGCAGCCCCAGCCTTCTGTTGGAAGGTTAAAGAAATGCCTACAGAGGCCGGCACGCCCCCTGCAGGAGGGGAGGGGTGAGGTGAGGCGAGGGGATGGTTTAGGATTGGCCTGAGGTTCCTAGAGCGGGTCTCAAGCGGATTTACCAGGAAGCTCTTAAAAGTACCAGTGCTCCGGTCTCCTCACACTGAGACTTTCCCTTGGCAGAGTCCAGGCAGGGGGACGTGAAAAGCGCTCTCCTACATTCTAACGTGCAGCCGCGTCTGAGAATCGCCGTGACCGAGCGGCGGTGGGTGGGGGACGGGGCGGGAGGTCAGAGTACCGGAAAGAAAGGAAACCTTTCCCGAGAAGAGGACACCGCTGCCCGCGCGGTCGCACGCTTGGGTGGTCACTCCAGCCGCGCTTTCCAAGGGCCAGCAGCCTAGGTCAGTGGCTTTCACGTCAAACACAGGTGTCGCATCGGCAGGTGCACCAACGTGGGCACTGGAAGGAGGGAGACTAGAGCCTTGGGACTGCAGCAACGCCCGGGACCGGGTGTGGGGCCAATTGCGCGTCCCCCGGCTTCCCTGCGCCCCCGGAGCCCGTTTTACTATGGAGGCCCAGGCGCCGCGTGCGGACTCTGAGTTCGCGCTCTAGTTGACAAGGGCTTTGTCACTTTTCCTACTCTGTTGCCACCAAGCGGCGATGACGCCGCTTCGGTCCTCACTTTGGTGACGCGAGGACAAATGGGTGACCACGTACACTTCGGAGCAAACTTTCTCCTACACCTGCTAACTGGCCACCTTTAACAGGAAAAACAGGAGAGCACACAAACTAGAAAAAAACCAAAACCAAACCACGCAAATACACACATACACACACAGTGCGCGCGCGCCTGCGCAGGGGTGAGAACGAGCTCACAGGAAGGTGGAACCAGCGCAAGACCTTAGCGCCAGGTTGGTGGTCTCCCTCTCACCGGCCGCCAGAGCACCCCGCGCCTTCTCCGCGCACCTACCCGCGGCTCCACACCTCGCTGCCTTCGCCCACGCTGCCCTCGGCGGCCGGGAAACCGATTTGGTGGTCTGAATACTTTGGGGACCCACCGGAGGGAGGCCTGATGCCCTCTCCCCCAGCGTCCTCCTCCAGGGCGCGGCCAGCACACCTGCGACGCCGCGCACTCCAGCGCTCGGGAAACACCTGTCTGGGGGAGGTGGGACCGGAAACGCGTGTCTCCCGGCGCGCGCCGCCCACCCCCGCCGCCTGCCGCGCTGCAGGCGCTCGGCGGTCTCTCGGGTCCGGGCCCTTTAAGGCGGGTGGTTGCGGCAGCCGCGCTCGGGGCGGGGCAAACAATGCGCGCCACGCGGGGCCGGATCCGCAGCGGTAAGTAGGAGCGAGGCCCGCCTGGGGCTGGGCTGTGTCACTGCACTCCCGGTGTAGGACCCGTCCCACGTGGCTGGGGGTCCCGAAGGGCCCAGTGGACCGGCTGCCCGACCCCCACTTCCACCGGTTCCCGGAGCACTGGGGCCCGCCGGAAGCGAGTGAGTACCTGTCGGCCCTTAGGGGGCCGGGGGGGGGGCGGGTTCGGGGGACTCGGGGCAGGCCTCCGAGCCGCGGACGCCCGAGTCCACCCCGGACCCCGGCTCTGGCTCTCCCCGCCGGCGACTCGGAATCCGCCAGTGTGTTTCACTTCCAGTCTCGGCGAGGTGGAGCTGCGTCGACCGTGTATATCCAGCTGGTGTCAAAAAGCCGGATAATCAAACCGTTAACACCCAGTCCAAGTGCTGGTTCGGGTCCTCGGCGGTAACTAGTGAACGCACTGAATTTAGAGGGGGTGGAGGGAACACCTAAGCAAAACAGCAGGAACTACCCTGCCGGCCGCAGCGGGCGGTAGCTGCAGTCTGCGTGGGCCTGGCCAGTTTAGAAAGAGCCGCGTTCTCTGCGGCCCTGGGCTGTCAGCGCCGCTCCGCTCCGCTTCAAACGCGGCTGGGTTCGGAATTCACCCAGTGGTGACAGCAGAGTGCGTAGGGCATCCTGCAGGAGTTGCACGGTCTTGGGTTCTTGTGCCCAAAGACACCTTTTAGCATGGATTCAGGACTAAATTTCTCTCCCCAGAAGGGGAAGAGCCATGCAAAAGGAATTAGACAAAGGTTCCCCCCACCTGTGTTTCTTCTTTTGAACATGTAAAACGACCTTAAAAAAAACATTTGGAGCGATTTAAAAGAGAATGAGTATTTCTGGCCCTAGCGTCACGCGAGATTCTTTTGCCCAACAGCTTTGAGGGAGCAGAGAGCTGGATGCAGGTGACATGGCCCTGGTGCCCTACGAGGAGACAGCGGTAATGGGCTTGCAGAAATTCCACAAACCTCTTGCCACCTTCTCCTTTGCGAACCACACGATCCGGATCCGGCAGGACTGGAGACAGCTGGGAGTCGCCGCGGTGGTTTGGGACGCGGTAAGTAAGACCCTGGGGCCTCTGACCACAATTGATTTTAAGACTGGCTTTCTTCTTCCTTTTTTTTTTTTTTTTTAAATAACAGATTTATTGAGGTATAATTTATATACCATACATTTCACCTGTTTATACAATTCTGTGATTTTTTTAAAAAAAGTAAATTCACTGAGAGATGTAACCATCACCATGGTCTATTTTAAAAACATTTTCATCCCCCAGCCCCTCCAAAAATACTTATACCCATTGGAATCTCTTACTTCCCTGCTCCCTCCCCCAACCCCAAAATATTGCATTTTGAGGGTGAATAAAGGAAAGCTGAGGGAAAGTAAATTACTTGCCAGTAATATACCCAACAGGAAAGAGGGAGGGAGAGCTGGAAGGAAGGCAGGAAGCCCCTAACTGCTTTGGACTCTCATTAAATTAATTTTTCACTTAAGTTTCATTTTGAAAATATTGCACAAAGAATACTGTAAAAAGTGGGAGAGCCCAAAGTGAAGATCACATGTTTTCCTGAAGTTTTCCGTAGTTGTAATGGTCACAAAATTATACTATTAGTTGCTTTGTTTTACTTCTTCCTCTCACAGCACTGTTCTGTCAGCTTTTGTGACAGTGACTTGCCCTTAAGCAGCTCGCAGTGGGAACTCATTTAATGTTGGATAAATGATAGATGTAATTTTGTGGTCTTAACATTGCATTAGGGATGCTAGAGAAACATTCAGGTGTAAACATCTCAATGTATTATAGCCTCTTCTAGGAATCTAGTCCAAGGTGATTACATGGAAAGTATTCCCAGAACGACTAATAGGGCACATAATAGTGAGGAATGGGTGAGCCTTTTGAATGCTCACCAAGAAGAGGAATTGTTATTTATGCTACTAGTATGTGGCTGTGAAAGACAAATTCTGTTTAAAAATTATGTTAACAACATACAATGCTTTAAAAAAAAAAATGTTTATTTTAGAGAGAGAGAGGGAGACAGGATCTGTGCTGACAGCACAGAGCCGAATGCGGGGCTTGAACCCGTGAACCGAACCATGAGATCATGACCTGAGCCAAAGTTGGACGCTTAACCGACTGAGCCACCCAGGCGCTCCTACAATGCTTTTATAGAATTGTATGCAAATGCTAACTCATGCATCAGGTGTCCAAAACTTTGGCCCAAACTTCCTTTCCCATGCCTGATAATATGTGGTGAGGGCCCCCAGTGATGCAGGACAACACGAGAGAAGCACCCAGCTCCAGGAGCCCCGGGTGGGAGCCACTCTGCCTCTTCCTTTGGGTGACATCGTGGCCTTGCTGCCTTGAACTTGGGTTAGGAACTGGACATCCCTTTAAGCAAAATCACAGAGACTGTTCATGTAAGCTCCACCAGGGTCGTTTTGTAAACTTTAAGTGACACAGTAAGAAATGAAACTTCCCAGAATGAGCAGCACCCTATGTTGTGTGGGCAGCGTCATCGACCCCTGCTGTCCCCGGGAGGGACCTCGGTGGGGCCTAGGCTCCGTCCGCTCTAGGGTCATCTCCCAGCAGCAGCCGAGTTTCTGTGTGTGTTGTTAAACTGGGACTGCAACCTTGCAGAGGAGAGAGGGTGTGATGTCTTCCTGCCAGTGTAAAGCCCATCCGAAACCCTTGGGGTCCTCCGGCACTCATTGACACGCAACGCTGTGTTTTGACTCAGGCTGTCATTCTCTCCGCGTATCTGGAGATGGGAGCTGTGGAGCTGAGGGGCCGCCGTGCGGTGGAGCTGGGGGCCGGCACCGGGCTGGTGGGCATAGTGGCTGCCCTGCTGGGTGAGTGCCGTATGCTGGCTCCCTCCTTTGCAAGTGGAGCTCATTGACAGGTGTGTTTGCTGCTTCCCTGACACAGACCCAGACCGGTTTTTCCCTTACTGGATGTTCTGTCCCCTGTACTTATGAGTCACCTGCTGGTGTCTTTAACTCCAGTAAGCCTCGTTTCTTCTCTCTCTCGCTCTCTCTCTTGCTCTCTCTCTTGCTCTCTCTCTTGCTCTTTCTCTCATCCTGTTATTTATACTTCCCATGAAAGACTGCTTTGCCCCCTTTGGTTGGTTGTTTGTTTGTTTTTGTTTTGTTTAAGCAAACACACGTTTATTTGGGCATTTAGAATTGCAATTCAGGAGACAATTGGGTTGTCTGAATTAGGTCCCTGCCCCTTTCAGTTTTATGCCAACAGTATGATCAGAAGGCAGTTTTCAGTTCAAAGAAAATTGTCGTATTCATGTACATAGTTTTTTACACTTTAGGGGCCTTCTTGTACTCTGTTGGATTTAACCCTGCGAGGCAGGTAGAACAGACAGTCTCATTCATTGCTGAGGAAACTTTGCTGGTTCGTCTCTTCTGAGAAGGGTCGGCCTTGCTGTAGTTTGTACTGACATCTTATATTTAAAAATTCTCTTCGCGGTATACAGTTCTGAATTGGTATCGAGGTTTGTCATTTTTTTTTGTTTGTTTGGTATACAAATATTAATTTAGGCCTACAGTATTTTTAAGCTTTGTTTTTATTTTGTTATTTATTGTTGACTCCTTTCTTCAGCTTCTGGCTCATGCCGTTCAAGCCACCCAGTGGGTAGACCAGCTTCTAACATACAATATATAACATTCATCACTTCAACATCGTCACCCAGTGCTCTTGTCAAAATGCAGCTTCTGCTTCTGTAGGTTGGGGTCAGGCCTGAGGACCTGCATATCTAACAAGCTCCCAGGGGATGATGATGCAGACACTGTTGGTACTCAGGCCACACTTTGGTGGTGAGGAGCTAGAATTCCATTCCATTGTGGACAGGTGCTCGAGGACCCACTTAAGCCCCTCCTTTATTGTGTCCTCTTTCCGGTAACTTATTTCTTTTTTTAGTATTCTTTTCTGTGTTTAGATCTAGCCTTCCAAAATGTGGTGGGGAACATGGGCAGCATGGTAGTTAACGGTGTGCAAATGGATGTAGGTCTCCATCCAACACCACGGCACCTTCAGGTACTGGTGAGGCCCTCGCTCGTACACTGCCTTTTGTTCTCCTCAGGTTAGCCTTACAGCATTCCCGTGGGTGTTAGGTTTCATTTTTTTATTTTGTTTTACTTTATTTTATTGTTTACTTCATTATGTTATCTTTACAGAAAGAGAGCAAGTGTGCGTATGAGCATGGGAGGGGCAGAGAGAGAGAGAGAGAGAGAGAAAATTTCAAGCAGGTTCCATGCCCATCGAGGAGCCCAACTCCGTTCCATCTCACAACCGCGAGATCATGACCTGAGCTGAAATCCAGAGTCCGATGCTTAAACTGACTGATCCACCCAGGCGCCCCACACTTAAAAATTTTTCATTTTGCCGGTGAAACTGGGGTTCTGGGAGGTTAAGTCACTTTGTGGAGTCCTGGTCAGTGGAGACCTGAGGACTCAAACCAGGTGCATCAGACACTTACTGTCTTTCCTTGACACTAAGTTTGCTGATGTGGGAGGAGTTAACTGGAAGGGAAATGAGGTTTCTTCTGTTTCCTCTGGACAAGCGGGTCTTCATGCAGAGCTGCGTTGGCTGGTGCAGAGACTTGCTAGTTGGCAAAGTGCATAGGTTTAGAGTTATACTTGGTTTTGACACCTTTTCTAACTCTTACTAGCTGTGTGACCTTGGGCAAGTTGCTTAATCTCTCCACTTCAGTTTCCCTATAAAATGGGGATAATAATCAGTTCCTGCCACATTGAGGATCCAATGAGATCATGCACAGAAATCAGCTCCTTGACTAGCGCAAAGTAAATGCTCAATAAATGTTAATTGCTCCTCTGTGCATATCTGTTTGTGATCTAGAAATGCGGATCTGTGAGGTTGGGTAAAACAGGATGATGAGGTTCTTTAAAGACTAGCACAGAGTGGGGGACTAGGTAGTTGTCGCCCCACAAGACGATCGGCTTTGGGAGTGGGCTGGAACAGAACAGCACGGTGTTCTCTCGTGACTGGGGGGAGGTGCGCTTCCTGGCCTGGCTTCACCGCCCCCTCTTTCAATCCTTTCCTGCCGCGGAGCAGAATTCATTGCTGCCTTATTTCTTCTCCCCACAGCCCTTGGTATACTTGCCATGTTGTCCCGGCCTTTCTTACAAGCCCGTGTTTCTTGTGTCTGTCTCTCCTGAGGCTTGGGACTGTGTCTCATCCTGTGTGTCCTTGGCCCCAGCCAGACCCCACTTGCCATGCGGTAGATACTCAAATAGTTCTGGAATAAGAGTTGGGCAAACTGGAAAATCATGAAAAGTAATGTTTCTCTTACAAAAGTGATGTAACTCTTTTCAAAAATAGCCCTGGAAATCGAATAAAGGGGGAAAAAGCCTAAAACATTCTAGTTCTTCATGACTGCAACATAAGTACTGTTAGCATTTTGGTTTATTTCCTTCCATTCTTTTGCTTCCACTTGTTTTTTTTTTTTTAATTTTTTTTTTAATGTTTATTTACTTTTGAGAGAGACAGAGACAGAATGCGAGTGGGTTAGGGGCAGAGAGAGAGGGGGACACAGATCTGAAGCAGGATCCAGGCTCTAAGCTGTCAGCACAGAGCCCGACGCGGGGCTCGAACTCACAAGCTGTGAGATCTTGACCTGAGCTGAAGTCGGACGCTCCACCCACTGAGCCCCCCCAGGTGCCCCTCCACTTGTATATTTAATCACAGTTGTAATCGTGGTTATAGAGGTGTGTGTATGTGTGTGTATGCACCTATGTATGTACGTACACATATGTGTGTCTCATTTCATGTTCTGTCGTGCGCACCTCTCTGCACTCCTATGTGATTTGCACACCCGTTATTGTTGTGACTGCAAAGTATAAGGCATTGCTTTTTAGGGTGAGACCTGAGGGTAAGAAAAAGTTACTCTCTTTAGAATGGAGGCAGCGAGAACTAGAATAGGTGGTGATTTTGAACGTGTCAGAGGTTGATTGTTCTCCTTTTTAAAAAGGTATTTTCATTTTTCGTTACCCGAATTATTCCCAAATTCAGGGAACACCCACCATATGCCAGGCCTGGGTTTAGGTGCTGAGGCTTCCCGTCTTCTCAGGAAGCTTCCATTCTAATTCTGATGGGGAGGAAGGAAAAGACAGATTCTATTAAAAAGCCAGGGAAAAAAACCCGGCAAGTTCTATGCAGAACTTGAATAATGGGTGATGAGATTTTCCTATTAAAAGAAAAAAACAGCTTTTAATTACTGGGCAGTTCCCACATTCTGTCTATTTAGTCTGTCCTTCTCACTGTGCCCCCCTGCCTGGTGGGTAGGTCTACTTCGAGCTCTCTTCCCCTCGGGAAATGAAGGCTTAACAGAGGTTAGGTAACTTGCACAAGGTCACAACACTCCTGGATTGTGGAGTTAGAATTGGAATGCTGTTCTGACTCATACCCTCGTCCTTAGTTTGAAAATCTCTTTATACTGTGTGGAAAGTATTCTTAGAAAAAATCATCCCATTTTAAAGATAGGGTTCTGTAAGTTGGGGTGGGGTCAGGGAATGTGGTTTTTTTTTTTTTTTTAATTAAAAAAATTTTTTTTTCTTTTTGGTGTTTATTTTTGAGAGAGAGAGCACAAGCAAGGGAGGGACAGAGAGAGGGAGACAGAATGTGAAGCAGGCACCAGGCTCCGAGCTGTCAGCACAGAGCTCGATGTGGGGCTCGAACCCACAAACCATGAGATCCTGACCTGAGCTGAAGTTGGACCCTTAAACACTTAACTGACTGAGCCACCCAGGCCCCTGGGAATCTGGGTTTTAAAGGCTTCTGAGGTGATTTGATGCTCAACCAAGTCTGGGGAAGAGTCTTAAAATATGCTCAGGAAGAAGTTGTCTTAGTTTTCTGTACTTGTAGTGTAAATCTCCACTGGGCTTTCCACTTGTGTGTATGTTTCACTGAAGGCTGGGCATCTCTACTTGCCTGTTTCTCAGTGCCTCAAACAGTATGTGTGTTTAAACTTGAACTCTTCTTCCCTTTGCAAACTCGACCTTTTGTTCTCTTGAGTTAGTGTGGCCATCCAAGTACGCACTCAGGCCCACCCCTTGACCCGCGCCCCATAGCCCCCCCCCCATACCCCCACCCCTCCTCCAGCCCCGCCAGCCCTGCTGACCCATCTTCTAAGGATTTCTTGATGCCAGTTCTCCCTTTGCGTTGCCCCTGTCCGGCTGGAGCTCTCAGCATCTGTCTCCTCCGTGAGGCTCTGCAGGTCCCCACCACCTGACCTCTCTGCCTCTGCTTTGTCTTCTCAGAGCCACTTCCCAGTAGACTGAAGTGGCCCATCCATGATGCAGAAGTGCTGGGATGGCCGGTACTTAAACACCCCTCTGCCTCCCCATGGCCAAACACCCCTGAGGGTCTCACCTCATTCTGACAGACTGTCAGGCTCGCTTCGGAGATCCGCGCACTGTTTTCGGTTCCAGGGACGCACACGCTGCTTCTGGTCCGTCCCTTCTGCCTCGGATGCCCTGTCTTCACCCTTTCCCCTGGTTAGTGCCACGTCTTTCCAGTGTAAGCTCAGATTTCCGTTCCTTCCAAATCCTTTCTTTGACCTCTGGCCCTCTCGGAGAATTCCTCCCTTGTGAAACTTGCCTGGCACCCCAGGTTACCATATTTTACTCCCCACAGTGTATCACAGTTGTGTTTCTGGGTCTCTCCCTCATGAGGCTGAGCTCCTAGAGGCCGAGCATCTTCTTGCTCGTCTCTGTGTCTCTAGTACATAGCACGTGTTCAAATGTTCCAATAAGGTGTTGCTCACAGAAGTGCAAATGGGAAGTGATGGTAAGCGTTTGCGTGTTCTCGGTCCATTACCAAGTGAGAGGCCACGGGGTGTGTGGTGCCGGGTCCCTGCCCATTAGTCCTCATGAAGTCAGCCTTGCCTCGGAGGGCACCTGCCTGAACACCTTGTGAACCTCCCTGGGGGGGTGGAGGGGGGCATTTCCTCCCGTCTTTCCTCCCGTCTTCAGTCGTGGGGGCTCTGCCCTTCCCCGCTTCTCCTGTAGGCTAACCTCCAGGCGAAGGGCGGTCCTCTGCTTGTTCCAGGCCTGTGACCGTGCAGCCGAATGTGGCTGCAGGCAACACAACAGCTGCCCTGTCTCTCTTCGCCTTGAGGATCCAGGAATGTTGAGGGGGGGAGGGGAAAGTGGGGGGGGGGGCAGTGGATGCTACTGTGCTTCCTCTCCTACTCTTCTAGCGTCCTCCCACCCTCTTCCTTCATCCACCCTCCCAGCCAGAGACGCGTCTTCTCATTTCACTGAGGAGACTGATGCGGTCAGAAGAGAACTTCTGTACCTCCCTCACTGCCTCCAGCCCTGCTGTGCCCCACAGTCTCTGCCTTTGCTCCTGATGTGCTTGCAGCCAGCCCCCCCGCCCCCCCCTCCACGCACACACTGTCTCTTTTCTTCCCTCTTTCTGCCTGGCCCTTCCCATAAGCCTGCAAACTGGCTGGCTCCCATCTAAAAACAGAAAACAGGGGCGCCTGGGTGGCGCAGTCGGTTAAGCGTCCGACTTCAGCCAGGTCACGATCTCACGGTCCGTGAGTTCGAGCCCCGCGTCAGGCTCTGGGCTGATGGCTCAGAGCCTGGAGCCTGTTTCCGATTCTGTGTCTCCCTCTCTCTCTGCCCCTCCTCCGTTCATGCTCTGTCTCTCTCTGTCCCAAAAATAAATAAACGTTGAAAAAAAAATTTTTATAAAAAAAAAAAATAAAAAAAATAAAAACAGAAAACAACAACAAAATGTTTTTGAGAGAGAGAGAGGTGCAAGTGAGTGAGGGGCAGAGAGAGAAAGGGAGAGAGGGAGAGGGAGAGAAGCAGGGCTCGAGTCACCCGAAGTGGGGCTTAAGCTCACCCAATGTGGGATTTGAACTCAGGAGCCATGAGCTGAAGTCAGATGCTTAAGGACTGGGCCACCCAGGTACCCAAAACAAAAAGTTTTGACAATGTCTAACAGAAATGTATTTTCTGTAGCGGGAAATGTGTGAGATGGACCTGGGATATCTTGTCCCACCAGATAGCAAGGAGGCTAACAAGGACGACATGGGGTTGTGTCAAAAGTCTGCCGGCAGTATTTGAACATCAATATTGATAATGGCACTGGATCCAAATATATCAAATATGTTTAATCCATGAGTTGATGATACAACAACAGAATAAACCCCATCAGTCATCTCTGGAGGCTGCTTTGGAGTCCAGTTTATAAAAGGAGAGGGAGGAGCAAAATTTATCCTGCCTTTCCTATTCAGTTCCTATACAAAATGAGTAACAAACTATAATTGAAAGAAACTATCCTTTCTTTATAGAAATTTCTTAACAAACAAATGCAAAAGGAATGTAGTGGATTAAAGATCTGGGCATTGGGTATTCATGCCTGTTCACATCACAAAAGTACAGCTAGCTTACCAGGTACTACATACCCCTTGATGAAGAACATATCACCACCTCTGAAATAGCCTTGCTCAAAAAAGTCAAATTTACGGGAGATACAGAGGAGAGAGGAACAGACTAAACTATATAAAATGGCATGGTCGGTGAAATCCAGATTGTGGGAAACTACAGGACAAATGATGTGTTTCTTCCCCAAACTGAAAGGGGAAACAAAAGATTGTAGGGAAACTGATAGATTAAAAGACACTTAAGACATCCCTGTGCTCCTCTCCGTAAACAAACACCCAAAAGGAAACCACAGGCAGGGCTGCCGTGTTCAGGGACGGACGTCTGGGAGACGAAACGTGAGTGGGTGGTAAGGAAGTGCTTCCCGGCAGAGTCAGGGTTGGCTGCTCTTGGGTGGGCGTATTTGGGAGCTGGCCCCGGGGTGGGTGCGTGGCGTGGTTACAGCAAGGGGCACACCACCAGCCTCCTTCACCTGGGTCACTGTGGGGGCCTCGTCACAAGGCCCCTTGCTTCCGGCCTGGCCCTACTGCTAGAAAGTCTGTTAAAGCCTAACCTCATTGGCGCTTCCGCTCAGCACTCTCCATTAGCTTCTCCTCTCAGAAAAAGCCAAAGCCTTTCTGAAACCTGACGTGTGCGGCCCTCGGTGGTCTGCCTCCCGCCTATTACTCCTTTGGCCTCATCTTCTGCTTTGTCCCTCCTGCACTCGTTCCTACCCTTCCGGCTGCCCTGGCCTGCCCACCGCGGGCCTGTGTACCTGCTCTTCTGCCTGCTGGGGATACTGCCCCTCCTGCGATGCACTTCGCCTAAGTCACTGTCTCGGTGAGGCCTTCCCTTATTGTTCAGTCTGCAATGTCCCACCCGCTTTCCTTACCTCTGGACATCTGTCTCTCTTTCCTGCTTTATTTTTGCCCTAGTGAGTGAGTATCTCCAACTAACGTACTGGCCATTCTGATTCCAAAAACACCTCTTATTGCCTGTCTCTTCACTTGAATCTAAGCTCTGAGGTAGGGGTTTTTGTCCCATGGTCGATAGCAGCCACTTGGATATTTATGCAGTTGACAGAGGAGTGGCCAAGTCGCATCAAACTCCTGGAACACCTAGCAGATTAGAAGTAGCCTCAGAACCTCAGAAACCCTCTGAGACCGGCGTTGGAAAGGTCTACGCCCAAGAAGTATTCAAATGAACACCAAGGTGATCTACAAAAGACTAGATCACTCCAGTATTGCCAGCAGATACAGACTGTTGTTACGAAATCCAGACATAAGTTTCTAAGTCAAACCAGGGAAAGGCTGTCTGTGAGCTTGACTTTCGGGGGGGACGGGAAGTGACTGCGCTCTTCTCGTTGAGGCAGCGCGCTGCTCGGCCAGAATGGTCAGCGCGGTAGGTGCGTGCTTGTAAAGTCCAGCAACCGTAGCACCTTTGTCAGGGTCACACGGAGCACTGTGAATGTCAGATTGAACTCCACCAGCTGCCGCTGAGGGGGTGCTTGCCGTAGCCGGTGTGGAACCCCGTGGGGGCGTGACCCACGAAGGTCACAAACTACAGAAGGCACGGAAGCGAGAATCTTCTGAAAGAATGGAAATTACGTTAAATTTCAGAAGTTACAAAGTCAGAACCGAACAGGATTATGCATACGGTTCCTGCAGCGCAGATGAGGTACTTCAGGGCCGGCCTTAGCTAGTCGCTTCACTGCTGTCAGGGTGACTACAGTTCGGTCTTCTCCCAGCCGTATTGGTTCATGGCAAACATTTAGTTCATGGTAAACAACTCGTGAGAAACATTAATGAAATACTGCCTCCTTTGCCGTATGCATGCAGGAACTCAGCATTTAGTAAACATGATCTCACATTTTTAACCTACGGTACTTTAGTACAATCTAGGAATTTCTAAGTTTAACCACTTTTCAAAATATATACATATATATGTGTACATACATACATATATGTATATAACTTACGTGTATATATATACATACACGTATATATATATACATATATATATACACATATATATGTATATGTGTGTGTATATATATATATATATATATAAAACTTAAATACATACAGGTTGGCTGCTTCCTAACAGCATAAGGAGACGTGGACTGGGATTTCTTAATAGCCAATTAATCCCTCCTTGACTCTTTTTAAAGCTTAGACCTGAGAAAGTAGCCTTTCCCTGTTTTTGGTATCTTGTCGTCTTTATAATCATTTGCTCCTAGATTTTTCTTTTGTGGATTCCATTTTACCTTCCGGTCTGACTCGAAGATCATAAGCTAATGAATAAAATGTAGTGGTAGATACCTGTGGGAGGTGGGCCAGTTCCACCTGCAGAATCCAGAAGCCTCAGTGTAGGGTCACTGGGGGGCTCTGCACTTCCGAGGCAAAACTTAGCAAACAGATGTGTCAGAGGGGCAAATCCAAAGTTCACTTTTACCAGTAAGCGGTGCAGAGGAGCTGCTGGTCATTTTCTGATCGTTTGCAGCCATCCCTGAAGGGCATGAGCTTCTGGATTTCAGGTGGAATATTAGAGACACTCCCCCCCCCACCCCCCGCTTGACTTGACACCCCTACCTGTTAGTTGTATTGATGTACACATGACTCTCTCTCTCTGTCCCACATTCTAGGTGCTCATGTGACTATCACGGATCGAAAAGTAGCATTAGAATTTCTTAAATCAAATGTTCAAGCCAACTTACCTCCCCATATCCAACCCAAAGCTGTTGTTAAGGAGCTGACTTGGGGACAAAATTTGGGGAGTTATTCACCTGGAGAATTTGACCTGATACTTGGAGCTGATATCATATATTTAGAAGAAACATTCACAGATCTTCTTCAGACTTTGGAACATCTCTGTAGCAACCGCTCCGTGATTCTTTTAGCTTGCCGAATTCGCTATGAACGGGATAACGACTTCTTGGCGATGCTGGAGAGGCAGTTTACTGTGACTAAGGTTCACTACGATCCTGACAAAGACGTACATATTTACAAAGCACAGAAGAGAAACCAGAGGGAGGACTTCTAGTTGGCTGTAATTTTTAGGAATGTTGTTATTGAGCGTGTTGGTGAAGGTCTTAGCCTGGGAATTGAACCACATTTGATGAAATGGCTCCTGAACAAAAAGTCTAACCAACCAAAGGTTCCCAAGGGACAAAGCACATGTGCCGTTTGAAAACAAAGTGGCACTTTGTCCCACTGCTGTGACTTCATAGTCCTATTTTACTCTGAAAAGTCCAACTAGCATTAAAGGAATGTATGAGATATCTGTATCCCATACTGCCCCCTCTTGGTAAACAATTTTCACTGGTGATAGAATGAAGGGCTGGTATAAAAGGGCCTTCAAAGCAGTGAGCTTGTTTCGGTGAGGCTAACCCATGCAAATTCTATTAAATACATTCTGAGATACATGTTTAGCCCAGTTTTCTAATTTTCGGAATATAAAGCAAGAGGCTTAATGTATATTCCCTGAGCTGTTGATGCTCTTGAAATCTTTTGTCTGCCCCATTTAGGTTTTAAGCATTACTTTGGGTTACTTGAGATTAGGATGTGAGTTCCCTGAGGTCTCATTTCATGCTTTTTGGCTTCATTTCCGATTTAGGCATACAAACAAATGAAGTAAAAGTAAAAGTTGAGTTACGTCTTGAAACCACCATGTGCTGTGCCTGGGATGTCGTCTTCAATAGCTGTAGTTTTCCCCTGGCACTCCCCTTTCTCAGATGTTGTGTTTGTATTTCTTTCCTAGGCTTTCCCCTCCTTCATATAATGCATAAGATGACGTTGAAAACAGTTCGAAATCTCACCCCTTCATGGGAGGAGCTCCCCGAGAAGCTCCTTCCACGTCGTGCTTGTAATTGCTTATTCCATGTCTGGATTCCCCAGAAGATGGGGAGCTTCTGGGGGCCAGGACTGGTGCCTCCTCCAGGGCTGCGTCCCAGCAGCCAGTGTCTCAGGCCCAAATATTCAGTGAATGAAAAACTTCATTCCATTTAGAGGGTACTGGTATTTGGGTTAAATGACTGCTACATTGTTTTATGATTATCTTTGACAGACTTTATGAATGAAGTCTCTCTCTCTCTCTCTCTCTCTCTCACACACACACACACACCCCCCTTTTTTTAAGCAATGTAAAAGCTTAACAGTTTAAACAAATTCAGATGACAAGAATTAAAATCTCAGTATGGTCGAGGGTACTGGAGATAGATCTTTGTAAATCATCGGAAACAAGACCTCCTTCCTCTTAACCTTTTAATGACTACCTTGGATGTGAAAATACCCAATACATTATTTTCTACATATATTTTAGAGGTTTTACTTTTAATAAAGATGAATTATGCATTAAACGTTCTGAGCATTCTGTGACGTACAGGTTCAACACAATTTTGATAAATGCACGTGACATAGAAATATCCATAGTCCAGCAAATCCGTAAAACGCCAATACTGTGCTATGAACATGGAAGGTCTTTTAAAACAAGTAAAACACAAGCCCTGCAGTATCAACACTGTAATGAAATGAAAGGCCGGTCTCCCACTCAGGTATGTTCTTCGAAATGAGTATTTTAATTGGGGTTCAGCTCCTTTAATATCCCTGACTTTGCAGAACAGACATTAAAGTGGTTTTGGGTGGGGATGGAAAACTTCAAGATGTCTGGGTGCTCTACCGAGTGAACGAAGCATTAATTGGTGGTGTTGCATGTTCATAAAACATTGAGGGTCAGAAAAGGTTGAAGGTAATTTTTTTTCTTGTCTTAATAGATGTCAATAAAAGGCAAGAAAAATTCAACAGGAATAGTTTGGTGTTTAAGTGAAAAATCAAATGATTTTTTGTGTGTGTGTGTGTGTGTTTGGGTTTAAAATGTTGTCTCAGGCCAAGTTCCCTGGGGAAATACACTCAGAGATGGACATTAGGGTGTAGAAAGTTTAAATGGGAATGATTTCAAGGTCGACATCTCTGAGGTAGTAAAAGTAGTAGGATTGGGAAATAGGGGGAAATTAGGCTGGGAGGCAGTCAGGAGTCCTCAGAAACGAGAGCTAGGATGGCCCTGTAGTTGGGCCATACTAAGCCAAGAGGGCAGGGTTTTATATCCCTGCGTAGATTAGTCATGTGATCTAAGGGGCATACCCTTAGGGTGAAGAAAAGACCTGGAGAGAACTCAGCTGAGAGCCACCATCCAACATTGTCAGAAGCTGAGGAAGCGAGTGCTTAATGGGTGTGTGGGGGTGAGGGATGGGGCTGGGGGTAGACGTTATATCTGGACAGTATGCCACAGTGTCCGCTATAAATGTCAGGAGAGCTGTGATGGCTTTCTCTTATGTTAAAGGATTGACCTCGGGAACGTGCATTCTAAGTGTGCCTGTCTTATCCTCAAGGATAGAAACCTAGTCTAAACCGACTATATGCTAAGCATTGATTTTCACACTGCTCAGTTTTAGAACTCTTAGTTCTCCAGTGACTTTTCCCACAATTAAGATCAAATACTGGTGCCAAGATGCTGTGTTAAAATATACGTAGGACGTCAGGTTCTTAGAACTACCACTATAAAGTACGCTGTCATTCCCTGTGCAGATTACTTATTTTTTTTTAATGTTCATTTATTTTTGAGAGAGACCGAGTGTGAGCAGGGGAGGGGCAGAGAGAGGGAGACACAGAATCCGAAGCAGGCTCCAGGCTCTGAGCTGTAAGCACAGAGCCTGATGCGGGGCTCAAAGCCACAATCATGACCTGAGCTGAAGTCCCTGACGCTCAACTGATTGAGCCACCCAGCTGCCCCAAGATAGCAGTTTTTAAATCAGGAAGAGGGGCACCTGGGTGGCTCAGTTGGTTGAGTGTCTGACTCTTGATTTCAGCTCAGGTCATGACCCTAGGGTTGTGGGATTGAGCCCTGTGTTGGGCTCCACTCTGAGTGTGGAGCCTGCTTGAGATCCTCTCTGCCCCTCTTGCCCACCCTCTCTCTCTCTCAAGATAAAAATTTTAAAGTAATTTTAAAAACCACTTTTTAATATACCAGCATGGGGCCTGACATCATAGTTGGTGAAATAGTCCTGTGATTTATTTTTGTGTCAGAGACATGGTCGTAATTGTACTGCTACCCCAGAACCTCTACCTAGACATAAGCAGCATTCTTTTTTTTTTTTTAATTTAAATTTTTAATATTTATTTCTGAAAGGGCAAATGGGAGAGCAGGGCGGGAGGGGCAGAGAATCCGAATTGGGCTCACGCTGATAGTAGCTGGCCCGACCTGGGGCTTGAATCCACAAGCCATGGGATCATGACCCGAGCCAGAGTCAGAGGCTTAATCCTGAGTCATCCAGATGCCCCGAAAAGTAGCATTTTCAAGGTCTTTAACAAGAAGGAGGCAACATGTTGCAGTGAGTACGGAGAGCCTTGTTCTGGGAAAAAGAGAAACTGACAAGAACTGCATGAAATCAGGGCAGAACTCCGTTCTTTTTTTGTGACTTTAAAACTTGAGGATTCGTTAGCTCTGACGTTTCTTTCCAGTCTTCAATCATATTATGCTTTTCTTTCTACAGCCAGGAAGTGCTATAACTTAACACTAGAAGACATGGTATGCTGAAAAATTAAGTTTCCTACCTGAGAACTGTTTCTGTGGTAGAGGGGAAATCCCTATAACAGAGGTGTGAAAAGGGGGGCCTATCTGCTACAAAACCTTGTGTTGAGGCTGGCTCTGCCACTTCTAACTCCTAAAAATTACATACACTATAAAGCTTGACATTTCAAAAATACCAACGTGATCTTTTTATTAATTTAGCATATTATTAATGCTTAGGAAGCAACCTTCAAATACGAAAACCATACTTAATAAACATTCCCACTTCTCAGTATCTATCCTAAAGATAAACTAGCTTATATTTATACTAACTTGTGTGTATCTGGAAGAGTCAAAAGTAACAACCTACATGTTCACAAAAGAGGGCGCTTCTTAAACTATGATACATCTACACAATGGGATACCACACATCCGTTAGAAAGACTGAGGCAGATGTACATAAACTGAAATAGAACTGTCAAGACACATTCAGTGAAAAAGTACCATTTATGTAAAAAGGGGAGAGAGGAGAGAATAGACATTACATTTGCATGTATATGCACAGATTGTCTCTAAAAGGATACACAAGAAACTGCTTTTTACTGCTTCCCCATTTGTCATATTTTCCAAACGTACATACTACTTAAGGAAACAAAGTTAAGAAATGAGGACACTATGGAGAAAGTGAAACGAAAACTTAAGAGAATGGGAGAAAATAATGACAAATCGTACTACCTGGTGAGGCTCTGGAATCCAGAATATGTAAGAAACTCATAAAACTCAACAACAACAAAAAACACCATTAAAAAATGAGCAAAGGACTTGAACAGACATTCTGAGCATTCTGGTTATTCTCCAAATAACCACAGACACATGATACGCGACATCGTTAAACGTTAGAGTTGCAAATACGATGGACAACGAGCTAGCTCTTCACACCTGTAAAGAGGGGCATAATTAAAACCAACGTTGGTCAGCGCACGGAGAAATTGGGACACTCACATATATCAATCATCACTGGCAGGAATGTAAAGTGGTGCGGCAGCTCAGGAGAAATTTGGCAGTTCCTTAGAAAGTAAACATAGAACTACCATATGGCCCAGCGATTCCACTCCTGGGTATGTATTCAGAACTGAAAGCAGGGACTCCAATACCTGCACGTGAATGTTCATAGCGGCATATTCACAAAAGCCAAATAGCGGAAATATCCCAATGTCCATCAGTGGATAAATGAATAAACTGTGGCATACATGACGGATTATTCAGCCATAAGAAGGAATGAAGTACTGATGATTTTGAGGAACCGCAAAAACATGCTAAGTGAAAGAAGCCAGGCACAAAAGGTCACATAGGATCCTATACGTAAGAAACAATAGGTAACTATAGAAATGGAAAGCAGATTCATGGTTGCCTGGGGATAGAGGGAGGGGAAAATAATAACTCTTTAACAGATGGAAGGTTTGATTTTGGAGTGACGATTTGGACCTAGATATGCAGTTGGTGGTAGCTAGCACAACGTTGAGAAGGCACTAAGTGCTACCGAATTGTTCACTTAAAAATGGTCAATGTTGTTATGTGAATTGCACCTCAATTAAAAAAAAAATAGCAAAAAATAGCATTGAAGTGCCTGGAAATACCTTTCCTCTTCACTTGTTAGGACCTCATCAGAATCCTAAGCCCCAGTTTGGTCAATATGCAAAAGGAAGATGTGGAGAAATGAAAAATGCACAGTGGAAGGTAACACTAAGGCAGTGATTTTCTGGGGTTTTGCCTTAAGCAGCGTAGTGGAATAGTGGCATCATTTACAAGATGGAAAAAGCCAGCTGAGAGATGAGCGGATTTAGAGGAGAAATGAGAGGTTCTGTTTTGCAATCTGAGTGGAGATGACAAGTAGGAGAGTGTAGCACCAGAGCTAAAATTGTGTGAACGTCTTAGAATGGTTTCTTCGGCTGTGTCCTAGAGCTTCTTGAGGACAGGTACTTCTTAGTGCTCAAGTACTGGTGAAATAAGCAAGTGACCACAAAGGTATGGATAAAGAGAAGAGAGGCACTCTATCCTTTTATTGGAGGCTCAAGCACCTGGACACGGGTTACAAGGAGGGTGACTAAAGGTCCCAATTTGCTCAGCACAATCCTGGTTTACACCTGTTGTCCCTATTTTTTTTTTTTTTTAATTTTTTTTTCAACGTTTATTTATTTATTTTTGGGACAGAGAGAGACAGAGCATGAACGGGGGAGGGGCAGAGAGAGGGAGACATAGAATCGGAAACAGGCTCCAGGCTCTGAGCCATCAGCCCAGAGCCTGACGCGGGGCTCGAACTCACGGACCGCGAGATCGTGACCTGGCTGAAGCCGGACGCTTAGCCGACTGCGCCACCCAGGCGCCCCCCTGTTGTCCCTATTAACGTCACCCTTTCGCTCTCAAAAATGTCTGGTTGTACAATCACCTTAAGTGGTCACACTTTGTAGAAGAGAAAGAATAAAATATGGGCAATTCCTTCAATACAATAGCAGGTGTAACAAGCTTAATAAATACGTCATGGCAATTTTTTAAAAAAGTACCTTAGAAAAAATGCAACTGCTTATTTTCAGAAATTAAATCAACAGGAGAGAATCTTTTATTATGCTTTAAGCAAAGAGCAGATTAACCACACCTCCTCCCATTTCCTATGATCACAGAACTTTAGAATTACAAGGGGGCCTGACAAGTTAGCTATTCTCATTGTTCTTCCAATTAAAACATGTATTTTCTGACACTGGAGACAGCTGGTCATATGTCTCCATTGGTTTTCTCAATAGGGCGGTAACATCTCCACATCTTCAAATAGGCACTGTTCAATCTTTCTGAACAAAGAAATCTTGTGCTAAAAATGAGGAATACAGTAAAATTAAATAACTGAAGATATGTTCTGGTTTCTCAAATTAGTTTTCCGTTGCCGTGCAACACAAGCTTGTGATATATTCTAACATAAACTTTGCTCATTTAACAAAAGTAATAAACTGAAGTCCCAGAAAATACAGCTTAACACTACTGGCAGAAACCAAAAATCGAGAGATCCCATCCCCAAAAAAGAGACTTACAGAGTTTTTAAAAGCATGTTTATGTGACTGCACATAAATGTGTGTAAAAAGGGCATTAGGACAGTTGATACCACAAAGATTACAGTAAGAAAAAGCACTTTCTGACAATATTTCACAAATTCACAAGGATCACTTTAATATACAAAGCAATTGCTACCATTCTGAACACAAAGCAGCTACTATGTACATAGTGTTAATAAAATGCATTATAACTCAGTACATTTTCTCTCTTTACACAGATAGAGCACAAAAAGATTTAGGTAAAAAAATTAAAACAGGGATGTTTCTAGAATGTAGGGAATTTTATTAGAAATGTATTTCCCTCATTATATTTACTTAATATTCAACTCCAATAGTAACATCAGAGTTAAAAATCGATACCCTGTTTTGTGCTGATAGTTTTGGGGGGAGGTATTCTTTACCCCAATCCTCAAGGAAAAATTAAAACAAAAACAAACACCATCTTTCTCTCTAGAAACTTCCCTGATTATTTTGTTTCTAAAAAGTCTCAAGTGATACATCTAGGTTAGAAATAATTCCTTTTTTGGGTGGGGAGGACAAGTGACATGTGGACAAATCAGTTGGGGACGACTCTACATGGAAAACTGCTAACTAGCACTCCTCTTTGCCACCCCTCCATAAATCCATACTCACAGAACAATGGTGACAAATTATTTCCCACTTTTAATATAAATAATTTTTATTACATACACAAATTGGAGTGGCACCTGGATAAAAATATGTCTATAAAGCATTTACCAATTTAATTTTAAAAACGTAAGAAAATAAAACCTCCCAAACACAAAGATAGATCATTTCACTTGGCCAACTAACATAAGATTACTATTTGCAGGGATTTTCTTCCTTCCCTACCAATTTTTCAACTATCTCAGATTGACTCTTACATTTCTGAGATGCTCCTCGGAAGCTTGGAAACGCCCATACTTCTGTAGGCAAGTATCACATAATGCCTGTATAAAGGAGGTAAAATCTGATTTTCCTACCATTTGCCCCTTTTCAAAGACATTTCCCAAAGATTGTTCATTTTCCTTTTACTTGCTGGTGAGAATAATTAAAAATGTATCAGGTTATATACCCAGCTAGGACCTGCACCCACAGTACCAGAATGCAGACAGGTCAATATTTTCTCTCTGTGCTAAAACAACTCTGCCTGTTTATATCATCTTCACAGGCTTTGTTCTATTTTTTTTTTTCTATTTTTATTTTTTTAAAAAATAAATTTCAAGCTAAAACACCTGAAATATAATCCCTCCACTCAAACGTTATCTGGTCCCTCTTAAAGTTTGCCCCCCTGAGGACACATACAAAGGCTTAAGCTACATTCACTAATCAGTACGAACTTATCAGAAGCATATGAGACAGATGGAACTTCAGCACCCTGTTTGATTTATTTGAAATTCTTCCATACTGACTCAGCTTCATGATATGTTCAACCCCTCAGGGATTAGTGCCTCTCCTAGCCATTGATTCGAGAAAGTCAAGGAAACCAGTTCCTAGTACATACAGTGACTGTGCAGTCAACTTAAAAAAAGTCAACGTATCAACATTAAAAGTATTCAAGATGTAGGCAAACCATCCAACAAAAGTTCTAGTTGTGCTTTGTACAACAGAGTGAGCAAATGTATCCCTCAACTCTTCACCTCCAGGCAGCTTACCAAAGCGCGTTGCGCTTTCCCTTCTCACCAGACCTCAGTCCGATTTAGGTGTTTGATGGTAACAAAGCCAATTTTAAGTGAAAAAACCTCAGTCAAATCATTCCATGTGGTCTCCATGATGATGGTAATTAACTGCCTTGAAAACTATTTTACTGTTCTAGATAAATTGATGGATATCTTGGCACCCTACAGACAACACTAATGTTGGCATGGGAATACAGTCTCATTTAAAATTGAAAATAAGTATCAATTTACTCCAGTTGCTTTTCCTTCTATCTTTATCCATGATGTAAAAGAATCCCATTGGGTTCAAACTCATCTTTTAATTAACTGGGCTAGTCAAATCTAATTTCCTGTTACTTTTCTTTCACAGCTATTTATAAGGCTAGCCTTTAGGTGCTAAAATATTTTAATGAAATTTTCCATTTAAAAAAGTCACATGATTTGAAGAGAGGAAAATGACATAAAAAGCCAGTTGACAATCAATTGATGAGGGAACTTTTCTCAAGTTGCTAACACCCAACAGGGTCATTTTTTAAAAGTGCAAGTTACACCAAACATTTACAAAGAATATAATGTAAATATAATCCAAATAAATATACAACTTTTGTATCAGGTCAACGGGAAACAGCATACCAAAAGTTTTCAGAGCCAACAAGGCAACAAAATGAAGCCTCTTACAAATAACTGAAAAGGTGTGTAATGACTGTTCTAAAAACCCACTTTAATTCAAAAATCATAACTTTATATTCGCCTTATTTAATCCTGCAAAATGAAGCGGACTTTTTGATCTTCGAAATAAAGAGACCAATTTATGCTAATAAATTGACTGTTGCTGATCACAAAATTAAAAACATTTTTAAAATGTAAAGAAGAAATCTAGATTGAAGTCACTTCAAGTAAGTAAAAGCATCCTGGTTTAAACACACTGGTTGTTTCTTCCTAAGCCTTTGTATGATTCCACATGTCACCCCAAGTGGTCAAAATGATAGTAGGGATTAGGCCTGAGAGACAGAGATAAACTTCAGCCAGATGACTTCTGATCGGACAGCCTGCCTGACTGGTATTGTGCTTTCAGATTCTAGCACTGCTGCTGACCTACCATCAAAACACATTTTTCTGAAAAAAATCCCTGCTCAAATGAAAACACCCAAATTCCTCCCCCAGGATGAGTTTTGAAAAATCAGTGGTACCTTTTAGAAGCTATCTGCAAAATGTTCTTACCACTGTTATAGCTGCCAGAGACAAAGCATAAAAACCAAATACTTTGGGGGCGGGGGAGTTTTCAAGTGACTAGTAACATACATAAAAGTATCAAGCCAAAGAAAACGAACAGTAAAAATAAAATACTTGGAAGAAAATTAGAAGACAAAAATCAATCATGAGTGCTGGAGTAATGCAGTCCAAGAAACTACCAAATGGGATGCAACAGAACACGCAAAGATGTAAAATTTCATCTGACCTCAATATACTATAATACTCAGCATTCCTGACTTAGGAGCTCTCAGAGCTTCAGATTATATACTGTATGTATTTATATATATGTACACATATATTATACAAATGCCATTTCCCCCCCAATAATATCTAAACGAACAGAGCACCTATGACAATATGATGGTTGCCAATATGGTACTTGAGTTTGAAAAGAATGAAATTAAAATTAGATCTGATATCAATTTTTTAATAGGGTGGACACATTGGATCTAGCCCTTTCTAAACCACTTTTCAGCTAAACACTATCAAAGTTTGAAAACTCGTAAGAGTAATATATCAAAAATAAACCCCTCCCACTTCATTTTTATTAGAGTTAATCTGTCCTATAGATAAAAGTGCCACATGGCCCTATATTTGCAAAGTAAGCGATACCAAACTTGCTATTTTCTAGGCAAATCAGTAGCATATGTACAGATTCCTATGATGACATTTTCATTCCCTTTTGGCCAATATGAAGAGAAAAAAACATTTATTACTGGTAATGTGGCCATATATGTTCTTGGCTACAAGATTTTTTTTTTAAATTATGTCATTTCCTTAATAAAGATTCTCAAAGTTGCATGCTTAAAAACAAACACCTTTTTTCCAATTCTTGTTAAAAAAAAAAAAAGTCTGCACAAAAGATGCTTAATTTCTATCTGTATAAACTGAAATTTTCAAGTCTCTTTATGGGTCTAGAACAGATTTAGCAACAGAATAGATTTCTTACCTCACCATTAAGTAACTGACTTCAAACCAGTGCAATCATCCTCAAGGTACAAAGGACCCGGTGTTTGTAAAAACTTACAAATTCAACCAGCTAATATGGATGTGACTGCCTTGATTCATCAGGGACTAAGAGGACCACCAACTTTTCTAACTAAACAGAATGCCTCGACTTTTGGAAACATTTTACTTTGGAGAATACAACTTGCTAAATACTAGGCAATTTTCATTTATAAAGTTTATGACATTCGAAACATTTTGACTCATTAAGAAAGAATTCTAGTTTGTGAAAAGATTTGTCACTTTGCTTGGTTTCTGCTGAAGTTTTGGAAAATGACACATCTATGCTGGTATACAAATAATTTTTATGCTACAACTTTCCCCATTAGCTCAGCAGGATAAACATCAAACTTTACAGTCGTTTGAAAGCCTTCTTGAGAATCTGGTGAATTGTCCAAATATAAGACTACATCACTCAATTCTTAGAATGATGCTCCTTCATAAACTCTGTTCATCCTTGAAAAGAGACAATGGTTTGTTACAAACAAAAATAAACCATTTACAAATATTAATTAAAAACCTTACTTTTCAAAAGGGACCCAACAATTAACACCCACATCTGTATATTTTGTTAATACATTAACAAACTTTAAAAAATAACCCATGACTAAATATAAAACATTAATTTTCTACACTCTTCTTTTAAAAGGAATAACCTTTTCAAATGAGAAATTATATCTAACATTATGTCAGTTTCCAATTTTTAAAATCCACCTTAGTCCTATTTTTTTAAAGGGTAACTTTTGTAAAGATTTATCAAGCTTAGTGAATGAGTAATTAATAGTTAGAAGTAGTATTGGAAACAATGTATGATACATATAAATACAGACTGGTATAGTCAGGGGTTAAAACAGGTAGCTCCTTTGCAGAACAACAAAGGCTATACAGCATATTGGAAAGCTCAAGCACAACTATCCTTTTTAGGAGAAAACCAAAAAAAAAAAAAAAAAAAGTTTTGTAAGAATGACAATCCAAATATTGTAGTACAGCAGTCATTCAAATACGTCTGAAGAAAATAACTCTCGTGTACATCTAATACTGTACTTTTTATAACTATATCCTTACACTTTCATTAAAAAATTCACTAAGGATATTCTGTTAAAGTATGTTAATATGGAAAAGATTTAAAATCAGTATTTTTCTACAACACAACATTTTATAAACAAAGATATCACTTTGTTTTATTTAACATCTTGAAGGCTTTCCTGTTGGTGGTATAGTGTAAGTGCAAATGGGAACAGTTTAATTAGAAATATCTTTTTAAGTAAATGAGTGACATAAGTATTTTTGAAGGCGATGACAAAAACATTTATTTAAAAACCTTGTTACGTAACTCAAGGGGCTGGTTTACTAATGAGCATCTTTTTACTAAGAATTTAGTACTAACTAAAACAAGCTTTGTACTTTTATTTACTTCAGTTTAATTTAAAATTCAAATACCATGCTTTTTCATTCAGTTGGTTACTTCTTTTAATGTATTCAAGAATGTTGAACACATACAGAACTGAATTAAGAAGCAACAACTGCCCTACGGAAGAGCTACAGTTAACACAGAAGGTCAAGGACAAGTTGTCAGTATTGAAGAAGAGAATGTACATAGAAAGCACTTCGAATTCATTCTTAATTTCTTCAACACCACACTAAAACTCTTTTTTAGGGGGTATATCTCTTTGCAATTTTACATAATTCACAATGAAAATGTGAAAACACGTCCATTTGGCAAGCAACACTTCTTCATTGCACCTTACTTACTTTATGCATGCGGCCCACACATTACTTCAGCTCAAGAGGCTGGGGCAATTCTGTCCCTAAGGCAATCAAGGAGCTCAGCACAAACCTTGAAATCATTTAAAAAAAGATTTTCTTTTCCTCATTTCCCCCATCAATTTACAAGTAAACAAATTATTACTTCTTGAAGAGGGTGGGGGATGAAAAGCAGAAGTCTCTTCATGATTCCTGGTGCTGAAAATTTCTTGAGGGGAGACGTGGAGGCAGGTGTTGGAACATTCACAGTTTAATGCAAAAGCACAAATGAATGAAATTCTGTAGTTGCTTTCAGGCAGTTTTGCGCATAGAAAAAAAGAAATGTTTAGAAAATAAAATGTTTATTTTGTCTTTCTGCTTGAGGCCAAGCCAGTCCTTTTCCACCATGACAGGTGAAATTTAAATCCCAAATTAATCTGATTTGTGGCAGTAAAGGTCCTTAAGTGCTTTTAGCTCCTCAATGAGAGTCTTATTTTGGTTTTCAAGCACTGCCACTCTGTTTTCTAAACATTTCACATATTCTTTCTTCTTTCTACGACACTCTCGTGCTGCTTCCCTAGGAGCAAAGGAGGACAGGAAAAATTATGCAACATTTATTTCTATATCACTTATTTTGGCTTAGAATGCTTTTAGATATTTAGCTCAAAGCAACAAATATTTTAATATACATTAGGCATTTGAAAAAACTACACAGAAGGACTTGGAAATTGCCTCATGTAAAATTTTAATATACCATAGATGTTTGATTTAAAAAAAGAACCCCGAATGTGAAAACCCCACAAACAACCCAAAGGGCTGAATGATCACTTAAAATTATATCACTGGTTACTGACAGGATCTGCCTCATACCTAGAACACTTGAAATTCTATAAATATCAATAACTAAGAAAATACCAAAGCTAAATGTCAGTGTAAATTGAACAGAAAATTCTCACAAACTCATCATTTCAGGGCATTAAGAGACAACAACAATCTAACATGAGTCTCTTCCACAAATGATGTTGAGAACACTGTATATCCACATGCAAGAGAATGAAGTTGGACCCTTAATTATGCCATGTACAAAAACTAACTGAAAATGGATTGAAGATCTAAACGTAAGACCTAAAACTATAAAACTTCTAGAAGAAAACACAGGAGAAAAGCTTCAAGACGCTGGATTTGGCAGTGCTTTCTTGGCTATGCCACCAAAAGCATAGACAACAAAAGCAAAAATAAACAAATTGGGTCACATCAAACTTAAAAAATTCTGTTCATGAAAGGGCACAATCAACAGAGTGAAAAGGCAACCTATGAATTGGGAGAAGATATTTGCGAATCATATATATATCTAACAGGGAGTTAATATCCAGGATATAATCCAGAAATTTTACAACTTACAAATCAAAACCACAACGAGATACCACCTCACATCCATTAGGATGGCTACTATTTAAAAAACAAAAACTTAGGGGCGCCTGGGTGGCGCAGTCGGTTAAGCGTCCGACTTCAGCCAGGTCACGATCTCGCGGTCCGTGAGTTCGAGCCCCGCGTCGGGCTCTGGGCTGATGGCTCAGAGTCTGGAGCCTGTTTCCAATTCTGTGTCTCCCTCTCTCTCTGCCCCTCCCCCGTTCATGCTCTGTCTCTCTCTGTCCCAAAAATAAATAAACGTTGAAAAAAAATTAAAAAAAAAAAATAAAAAACAAAAACTTAAACAGAAAACAGCGAGGGTTGACAAGGATGAGAAGACATCTGAACCCTGCGCACTGCTGGTGGAATGTAAAATTGCCCAGCCACTACAGAAAACACTACAGTGATTCCTTAAAAAACTAAAAATAGGATTACCTTGTGATCCAAAAATCCTACTTTTGGATATATATCCAAAGAACACAGGACAGGATATTAAAGAGATATGGGCAAGCCTCCATCCATAACAGCATTATTCATAATAGTCAACATGCAGAGGCAACCCAAATACTCATCAACAGACGGATACACTGAAAAAATGTGGTACACATACAATGGAATATTATTCTGCCTTAAAAGGAAGGACATACCATCACACACTACAACGTGGATGAACTTTGAGGACATAATGCAGCAAAATAAGCCAGTCACGAAAAGGACAACTGTGGATTCCACTTATTTCAAGTATCTAAAGTAGTCAAACTCGGGGCGCCTGGGTGGCGCAGTCGGTTAAGCGTCCGACTTCAGCCAGGTCACGATCTCGCGGTTCGTGAGTTCGAGCCCCGCGTCAGGCTCTGGGCTGATGGCTCAGAGCCTGGAGCCTGCTTCCGATTCTGTGTCTCCCTCTCTCTCTGCCCCTCCCCCGTTCATGCTCTGTCTCTCTCTGTCCCAAAAATAAATAAACGTTGAAAAAAAAAATTAAAAAAAAAAAATAAAGTAGTCAAACTCATAAAAACAGATAGTAGAGTGGTGACTGCCAAGGACTCACAGAAGGGCAAAATGAGGGAAGCTGCTTTTAAGAGAGGTTCAGTTTTGCAAGGCAAAAAAGTTCTGGAGATCTGTTGCACAATACTGTGTACATATTTAACACTACTGAACTGTATACTTAAAAATGGTTAAGATGGTAAATTTTAAATTTTTTAGCACAATTAAAAAATTACTAAAAAAAAGTTAACACTAAGAGTAAAATATTTTCTAGCAAGCTATGAAGGCTAAACTAGTATTTTAACTCTATGTGAATAAGGACCATATATTATATGCTAGCACTTCCTAAATGCTACTACATATGTGTTAGCAATGACTGTTTCTAGAGAACTCTAATGTCCTCATGCCCACATAGCCTACTGGTTCAGAAAAAAGGAGTAAGCTGACTTTTGGAATAAAAAAAGCTGCACCTGATGATGTATTATCCATGACAGATACAGACAATATATGACCCACTGCATCACTGTACCACTGGTGAAAATTTTTTTGGAAAGAAGTTAAAAATGGCCCAACATTCAAATGCATGATGGAGATCACAAGTCGAGTAGTGCTATGAGGCCAAGAGTGATCTAAAGGGTCACAGTGGGCTTGATTCAGAGGTCAGGCTGGATGTTCTGTGTATGGGGTAAATTCTAACAAAGAGAAAGCATGTATTATGTATATACACATTTACAAATCTCATTTTATCCAGGGCTGACTCTGACTCATCTTGTTTTCCTTGCTTTCTCCTTCTCCATCATCTGAGAATTTACAGTCCACAAGTGCTCATAGGAATGCTATATCTACATGCTAGTTTCCAAAAGCTAAACTAACATGATCCTATAGGTTAGTATCTCCTAACTTTGTTGTACAAAAATCAGTATACTACAGTGTTGTGAAAGATTAGACTAGGATTCTTAAAAAAAAAAAAAAAAAAAGAACACTGGGCTACGAAAATTAACTGCTTTCTTTCATCTAAGACTTCTGATCCTTTCCATATACTAATGTGAATTGAGACTCTCTCCAAAGAGCAATTCTAACTAGCATGTCCTAAACTGAACGTGAGTATACAATACTTTTTTGCGGGGGGCGGCGGGAAGATACCAAATAAATTTCAAGTAACACACAGTCTTGCAGAACGATGCTCAAGTTAGGCTCAAGTTAGGCACGGTTTAAAATGAACAAATTTGGATACAGTATGACATATTAGCAAGAATCCTAAACTGAAAATCAGAAATCTTGGGTTCAGATTCTGGCTTTGAAACTAACTAGTTGAGTAGCTTCCAATAGGTCCCATGCAAGAACTGTTTCTTCATCTGTTTATTTGGTTTTTTTTTTTAATGTTTATTTTTGAGACAGAGACAGACAGAGCATGAACGGGGGAGGGTCAGAGAGAGGGAGACACAGAATCTGAAACACGCTCCAGGCTCTGAGCTGTTAGCACAGAGCCCAATGCGGGACTTGAACTCACGGACCTCGAGATCATGACCTGAGCCGAAGTCGGCCACTTAACCGACTGAACCACCCAGGCGCCCCTCTTCCTCTGTTTTTTAAAAACAGGACTAAGCAAGATGCCTCCAACCAGGACTGTTAGGTTCGTATTAAGGAGTTTGCAAAATCAGGGAATAAACGTGGCATGTCATTCTAAAGCACCAATTTTGATTAACGGGTCAGAGGGGTGGCAAGCATTTTCATGTTAAAATAAGCATTACTGTATTTTGGAGTAGAATACAAAATACAAATGAGCTTTAAATAAAAATTTTAAAGAAATCCTTAGCTCGGAGAATGCTTCTTAAAGCTTCTCAAAAATTTCTAGCTAAATATTTTTTAAAAAACAGAAGAAAGTGATAGGACTCTCCCAGTGGATTGGTCTGACACAGTGTGAAGATTAAATTGACCACTGAATGTTTCTTCCAGTAGAGAAACAGGATTTTAGGAGTTTAAGCATTCATGCAAACAGATGGCTTATAGATTCTGAAATTGATGTGATAGGCATATTTTTAGAAAAACGTTCTTTCACATAATGTGTCTCAACATCCTCCTCCATTCACTGACCTAATTCTTTGCCTCCATATGATACTCTTATTCTGTCTCACTTACTCTTTCCATTTTCAGCATCTTCAGTAATTCCAAACTACCTGATTTTTTTCTTTTGTCTTCAAAGAAGTTTATCAATTGTACTTTTCCTTTTTTAACAACCAATTTTTTGTTTCGCTGATTTTCCTCTATTGGTTTTCTCTTCAGTTTTATTGATTTTAATTTGCTCTTTTTCCCCCTAGTTTCTTAAGATAGAAGTTAGGCTGGCAAACATTTTTTTGGCTTTTTGGACCAAATGGACTCTGTCACAACTACTGCTGTTGTAGCATGGAAGCAGCCATGGATAACACATAATTGAATGAACATGGCTGTGTTCCAAATAAAACTTTTTTTTAAGTTTCCTTGTAAATTTATTTCAGAGAGAGAGAGAGAGAGAGAGAGAGAGAGAGAGAGAGAGAGAGAATATCAATCCCAACCAGGCTCCGCACCGCCAGCACAAAGCCTGATGCAAGGCTCAAACTCACAAACTGTGAGATCATGACCTGAGCCAAGATCTAGAATTGGACACTTAACTGACTAAGCTACCCAGATGCCCCTCAATAAAAGTTTATAAAAACAGGCAATGAGGTACAGTTTGCCAACCCCTGCCTGATTTCTAATGTTAAGTGTTTAAGGATGCAAATTTCCCCCTAAGCCCTGACTGAACTGTATCCCACAAATTTTTGTTGTTTTTTAATTTGCACTTAGTTCAAAATATTTATTTCCTTTAAGACTTCCTTTTGACCTATAGATTTAGAAATGTTTGATACTTAATTTCCACACAATTGGGGATATTCCCAGATGTTTTATGGGCCAAGCACATACTTTATATTATTTCTATTCTTTTTTTAAAAAAAGTATTTATTTATTTCGAGGGAGAGAAAGAGACAGCAAGTAGGAGAGGGGCAGAGACAGAATCCCAAGCAGGCTCTCCACCATCAGTGCAGAGCCCAACAGAGAGCTCAAACTTACAGACCATGAGACCATGACCTGAGCGAAGATCGAGTCAGATGCTGACTCGACTGAGCCACCCAGGCACCTCTATTTCTATTCTTTCAGATTAACAAGTGT